CCCAATACAGCAGGACTTCTCAGGATTTTTGTTCTCACAGCCATCCATTGAGGTTCACATTAGCATTCCAACTTTCTCCGTGCAGCAGCTGAGGCTCAGGGAGGTCAGGTAAGGCCAGATGGAGGATCAGAGCGGAGGCCAGATCACAATGCCACTTTCCACCAGCCCCACCGCTCCCCTAGCAAAGAGCCTTGATGTTAATTGAGCCGCTTCGTGCCTGGGACACAGTCCTCCTCTGACAACGCGTATTTATCTTGTGATGTAGAGGTTCATTATCCTCATTTTACACATGAGGACACTTAAGTAACTTGTCTGCAGTTTGCACAGCTAGGAAGCAGCCGAGCGGGGTTCAAGCCCTTACCTGTGGGACCTGGGAGTGTTTAGATGGCAACTCCCATGCAAAAGCAGTTTCCCACACAGTCCTCTTTCCTCTTCACACGTCCCTGCCCCTGGGAGAGAACTGGCGTTATTATCGGCATTTTGCAAGGTGGGGAAACTCAGGCATAGGATGGTTAAGGGGCTGAAGATGGTGGAACCAGAACTCTTGTACCAAATCCATCCTCATGTCCTCTCTCTAGGATGGGCCACCACCTCCCCTTTGCCTGATGCTCTGCATCTTGTCTGCCCTTCAGTAAACCCCTGAAATCCATTTTTCTCCCCTTCCAGGAAACCCTCTTGGAATTGTCCTAGTAAAATAGCAGCCGCTTCTCCTCCTCTCTGGAGCCCAAGCTGAGGGTGTCACTGGGGCATCCCTGTATCAGTTTCTTTCCAGAAGAGAAAGGAATGTGCTCAGCTCCACTTCAAAGCCCTTGGCTTCCACAGCCCCTCCTGGAACACCCCACCCTTCCCTCTGCCAGGCCTGCCCTCTTCTCTACTTCTGATACCTATTCAAGTACTTCCTCCAGGAACCCCAAACCCACTTAACCCCCAGCTCGTCTATGGATCCCTCTCAAGGCAGGAGCTTTGGCATTTCGCTTCTACTCTCAGAGCCTCGGTTTTCCTGCCTGTCATACCGTGCACCTTATGAGAATCACTCTGAAGCTCTGTGAACCATTCAAATGCCAGGGCCTCTCCTCCTGGGATTCTGACCCATAGATCTGGGCCCCCTCAGATACCTGAACTGCTCATGGTTCCACCTCTTCCACCTTCAGCCCTTGATGAGGAAGGCAGGTGGGAAAGCAGGTAATTGTCCCCGTACCAGCCTTTGAGGTAGCGCCCACGGTGTTGCTAGACCGGGAAGCAGCTCTGATTGCAAATTGATCTGTTGTGCACTGAGCTGGCTACTGAGAAGAGAGAAGCAAACTGTCGATACTACATTACCCATGGGACCTGAGCCTCTCCCTTGGGGGGAGAGAGAGAGAGAGAGAGAGAGAGAGAGAAAGAGAGAGAGAGAGAGAGAGAAACTTCTGTGCTGCCTAGGACATCTCTGCAGGGTCTGAGGAGGTAGGTGGGAGTAAAAGGTCCAGTCCAACCCTGCTTCCCCTGCTTCTCCACCTGCGGGGCCAACTTGGAGATCAAAGTGGAACTGAGGAGCTAAACAGCAGATTATTTAGAAATGGATTTCCATTTGGTTTATTGTTGCACAATTTGACATGGATCTGAGAACAAAGGACAGTCCGTTCACCTACATTGGGCTAACTTTGTGGCATATTTTCATGTCTCCAGGGCTATGAGAGCAAGACTCAGGAGGATTCTGGGACCCAGAGCCTGGAGGCTCATCCAAGGTGTGGTTCTAGAACACCTAGAATCGAGTCCTGCCAATCTATACTCAGCCCAGTGTTTCCAGGGTCTTTGTCCCTTTCCAGCCCAGCTCTGGGTGAGGCCGTGTGATGGGAGGAGAGGTGGACCTGTACTGGGCCGTCTGACACAGGGAAAGCAGAGCCCTGCTCTGAGCCCACGTCCCACCTATCTGTGGGTCTCTCACTGAGCCACACTCAGGCTTCGAGTCAAGTCTGCTTCCCTGGAACTGCCCCATGCCTGGCCACAACCTTCCCCTTAGCTAATCTACACAGGAGCCTAGTGCCACACTCACACACCAAATCACAGGTGGCCAGGTAATGGAACTTTTAAAGCATGTGGCTCATTGTCAGGGTGAAGGCCTCTGATCCTCCCCGACTTTTCTTCCATTGCCATCACCAGCTTTAGAACCAGGCTGGAGTTTGAACTCTGGCTCTTCCTAACTTCATGGTTTCAGAAAGATGCTTTATCTCTGTAAGGTCATCTACAAATGGGGATAAAATCACTGACTCATAATGGCGCTATGGGAGCTCAACCCCAAGCGTGGGGCTCAGCACATAGTACATGCTCACTTAATGATGTCTCCTGTTATCCACAAGGCAGGCACTGCTTTAACCCCTGCTGTCCAAGAAAGCTTCCCAGATACCCCAGGTTCTGCAGATCTGAGGCAGGTTGTCACCCCTGCCCATCAAGGGGTGATATTCCTACCCAAGGACCTTCTCTGGATGACAATTACAGTGTTGTCCTACTTTTAGGGGAAATGCTGCATGCCCTCAAAGACTACATCCTCTGAACAGAACATATCCTAGTGATATCAGCATTCCAGCAAAATCTGCCACAGACTATGCACAGTGCAGTCCACACAGACCCCAATAGGGAGGTATTCTTTTGGTAATAAAAAAGGTCACTGTTGTTCATTTTGTGACCATTGTGCACCAAGTGGTGTCTGGCCATGGGGATAGAGCCCTGACCTGGGTCATGCTGCTCTAAGCACTCTTCACCATGCAGCAGACCACCAGGCAGAAGCTTCTGGAAGAACATCACACATGGCGCAGGACCTCCAGCTGAGGAGAGGCTGCCCCAGGTGGGCGCCCTGAAGTGGAGCCAAGAAAGATAAGGAGGCACCTGGAGGAAGCTCGGGCATTCTGGACAGAGCCGCCCGGGCCGAGGCTCTGTGGCTGCATCTCAAGGAGCCCCTCGGGCTTCTAGCTCTGAATTCAACCAATGGCCATTGACCGTCTACTGAGTATGAACCTGCCTGGTCCTGGGCAGGGGGCATGTCCATCAACTCTCCATTACTGCTTCAAACACCTAAGATGAACAACTTGAACGGAGTAAAAGTTTATTTTGGTTCACAGTTTCAAGGCGTCAGTCACGGTCACATGGTCGCTCGGCCCATTGCTTTGGGCCTGGGGTGAGTCCGAACATGGTGGCAGAGAACATAGGTGGAGCAAAGCTACTCACCTGACGAGAAGAGAGAGAGAGAGAGAGAGAGAGAGAGAGATGTGTGAAGAGAGAGGAGGAAGGGGCTGGGGTCTCCATACCCTTTGCAAGGGCACACCCCTCAATGACCCAACCACCTACTAAAGGTTCCTCCTCCTCCTCCCAGCAAGGCCACAGGCAGGTGACCAAGCCTTCTACACATGGATTTGGGGGGATAGTTAAGATCAAAACCATAACAGTTGACATTGGAGAGACAAATGGACTCATTCGTGGTCCTCTCCCTCAGGGAAAGCTGAGCGAGGTACCAGTTGGCACCACACCCCATAGGTAGAGGGACACACAGCATTAGAGGGGAACTAGGAGGGGGAGGGCAGTTCCAACAGGGGTGAAGTGGGAGAGCCAGGACTTGAGAAAACTTTGGAGACCCACTTGTGGCTTCCCGGAGCTTTGGAGGAAGGTGGAACGGTGAAAGGTCCCGAGAGCAGCAGGTAACACCAGGAAGCACAAAATCCTAGATTGCAGACTCCACAGGCCTGTGTTCAAAAAGCTGCGTGCC